TAATGGCTGCTGCCATGCTATCATCAATCGGAGACGTTTGAATAGCAGAAAGCAAGGTTTTCAGTTAATCATACTTTGTGTTGTAGACTTCTTCTGCTGGCATCTGGAACATTTCTATAATCTGCTGCAGCGAAGTACCCAAAGGGATGTCAGGGGCACTTGCTGCAGTGCCCACCCTGATAAACGATGCTGCCTTGTTCGTTCCAAGCGCGACATCAGAGATGAAACAGAAGGGGGAACTTTCTTCCCAGAGCCGGCTTGAGTGGATGATGTTGCTGTTTTGAATTTTTTTCTTGCTCTTAACTCCACCAGATTCAGACATAACTTTCTGGGCAGCCACACTTTCCCTAAGCGCAACAGAACCCTTATCACTTTCTTGGCTATCATATTCATCATCGCTACCATAGACAGTCACTGGATTTTCCTGGGACATGAATACTAAATTCAGAATTGCTACAAATTCAAAACCTAGTACAAATGAAAAGTTGGTTGTGCTACTTTACCTTGTTGCTGGCTTCACTTGTAGAACGTTTATGTCCAATTAGTCTGGTGGACCGGCGAGTTGTGGTTAGAGCCCCTTTAGCAGGAGTTGGTCTAGTTTTTCCTCCTGCAATAGCAGCAGATTTCTTGCTCTTCTGACCACCAGCTTTTGTTTTCCCCACACCTTTGCTTTTCCCTGCAGTGACAATGTTTAGATAGTTCTGCAATTATAAGCTGCAACAGTAAAAAAATCAAAGACGGTAGTTAACCTTTTGGTTCTGCTTCAGCGTCACCAGCAACAGCTGCGGGTTTCACGTATTTCCCAATGCGAAATGCCGATTTGATTGCTTCTAACCCAAAGCCATACATGGTACCACACAACTCTCCCCGACCATTCTGTAACACCAGGTGTTGCTTCAAAGCAGAATTTGAAAGGAGTTATAGGAGAGGTTCTACCCCGAACAGACATCAATTCCCTGTGAGTTATATACTGTGCCAAGGTCAGTTTCTCCCTACCAAGCCTCCCTGTGTTCCAACCAGATACTTCAAAATGTGGCATGCTTTGCGCAAAACAAAATTGGCGAGCAACCATATTCGTTGGATAATTTTCTGCATGCATACCAGCACCAACATTGAGGGATTGCACACTCTTGTTGCCATAGAAGATGGTCCCTTGCTGACAGAAGATGGCTCCATACTGATGTCAAGCCAAAAGTACCAATATTATCCTACCTTACACTTTCTGCTTCTGCATGACAAATGTCACCAAAGCTTTTGTGCCACCAATCGCGACTGAGTTGTTGCACCATCACACATATATCTGGAGTTGATTCGAACATAGTCTTAAACGCCTATGTTCCATTGAAACTAGGTTTGTTTTACTGTTGCACTCCCAAACACAGGTTCTCCACTCTAAACATGAAAAATCCCTTCTGGTTTTAAGCTAAAAATACGTGTACAGCCAAAAGTGCAACAACCAAACAGGACCACATAAAGTTAAACCTGGATTATGCCTAGCTTCATGCAGACAATGATAAAGTATGGCCAGAGCAGCCTCAGCCAAATTCATTTGCTCTCCAGCAGCTAATCTACCAGCAACGTGAAACCAATCCATAGCCATTTGAAAGGATTATCCATGAAACACACACCTGTTTAACCACAGAGCCAGAAAGCGAATGTGGTGGAGGCGGCTTAACTTCCCTTTGTTCTCCTTAATGAAGGGACCATAACTCCTTGGTTGCCCTGCTGCCGCTGCAGCTGCATCGTCATCTGTTACATTGCCATCCACAGCTACTACTGCAACAGCAGGCAGACCTGTAATACCATAAACATCAAGCAGAGTAGGTGTAATTGGTCCCCAAGAGAAGCAGAACAAATTACTAGTACCACTCCAGAAACCAGCACCGCTTCTACCAAGTCCCAACTCTCTCCCAGCCCTATGGTACCGAATTGCAACAGGTCATAGATACCAGCCATCCTCCATGTATCTCCATATTCTGGCTCCAATTCGTAATACCACTTCACAAATTCATCTTGTCTCTGGTTTGTCAGACCACGGCCATACGCGAATCCCATCAATGTTGTCGAACTTACAAGGGTTCTCGTATTTGTGGTAAGCATCATCTAGATTTAACACTGGGATGTATTCCTTAAGGTTCTCCGACGCCGATGGAAAATTAGGGCCTGGAGTAAAGTGCTGCAAGGATTGATAGTGAGGCAGCATTACATATTCTTCATACGGCTGCAAGAAATTGATATCTTCTGGCTTCACCCCATGGGTTGCAGCTTTTGCCTTGTCATAAGCCATGGGATTGACGTCGCTGGAGCCGGCCATTCTTTCTTCCGAATTGCAACACTGCCGAAAAATAAAAATTTTTTTTAAAAAAAGAGGAGTATGACAAGGTTTTCTCTGTTTGGGTTGCAGGAATTTTAGTTGATGGGTGAGAAATTCGATCGATAGATCTGGGACTATTATTCACTAAAGGTTGCAGCTTTAATAGGATTAAGTGTAACAGCTTCTGATTCACTTCAATTCAAATTCCGAATCGGAAACGATTTCTTTCGCTGAGGAGAAGCCGAAACTGTTAAGTGGTTTTCTTCCTCTCTCTGTCATCCATTAGGTAAATTCAAAGCTGGTCTTCTAGTCAATCCAAAAAAAGCGCGAAGTCAGGAAACCGTTAGCAAACACGCATTTCCCTCACACGCGCCTTTGCTGGGGGGCTCCTGGGCCAACCAAAAATTTTTTTATCAGACAGATTGGCTGCTGGATCGACCCATTTTGTTGGGCTGGAGAGAGCTGGACAGTAAGGCAAGCAGTTTTTGACCCAAATTTGCTTCCCTCGGGGGGCTTTATGTTGGAACGATTTTGGTAAATCTGGTCCACATGAGTTGGGCCGATTGCAGCAACAATAATGGGAGGAAATAAAATCATTAAGCCCGCAAGGAGATCATTAAGGCTCAAAGAAGAAGCATCGGGTGACAATTCGAATTGGAGAAGGATTCGTCGACATCATAGTCCTTGGCGGAGAAGGATTTCAACCGAAACAGAAGTTCTCATTGGATTCGACTTTGGTTGCATTTCAACTAGGGTTGGCGGATCTTCTATAAAAGCTAAAAAGAAGAGACGGCAGAACACACACAATTCATCATACAACAAATCATATTTTCTAGTCTTTCTTTTTAGCTTTTCAATATTTATTTTCTTTAAGTTTTCATGTATTGATTTTGTAGATCTTTCGACGTTTCTGGCTTCTCATAGCTGATTCGTTTCTATCAAATCAATAGAGCTGGCCTTGAGTGGCCATTTTATTCATTTTCTCGAAATTAATCATTACTTCATGATCAAACACTTGGACATTCAATCTTGTTGCGAGTTGAAGGCCTTGACATCTCTAGGAAATTTTTAACGGTTGAACTCCGAATTTCGAGAATATCACACAATCGTTTGAAATTAATTTGACCCGAGTCGGTCTTCACTTTCAAATATAATTTTGACTCAAACAACTTTATCCAAAAATATGTCAAAGGTTATTGCATCCAATCCGTCACAAAATAAGAGTCATGTTTTTTTCTTAATAATAATAAGAGTCATGTCAATAATAGCTCTCCAAATTTCTTTGCATCAATCAAGGTTAGATAATTTTCGCCATATTTAAGTTTCTTTTTCTCCAAATTTTGGGTGATTCTTTGTCCTACATTTTGACCACAAGAGGAGAACTTGATGGATCAGTCTCGGCTTTGCATGTTCTTCATCATATAAGAACCTTTTGGAATTATTTTGGGGTTTCAAACTATTCCAACTAGTAAGCTTGGAAAATGTATTAACTCATGAATTGTTAATTATGCTAAGAATTGTAATGGGAGAGACACCTTATGGTCATCACCTTCGGATCGTCCATCGCTGGTTGATTTTAGCATTATTTATTTTTGTAAAATTGAATGTTTTATTTTAGAAAAAATATATATATACATAAATAAATATAACCTCTTATCAATGTTTTATTGAACTGGAAGGTCATTCTTATTTTGCAAAAAGAGAGAATGAATTTTAGAGGTTGATCTTTTCTTTCACTTGAATTATCATTTTTGGGCCCCGACTAATAATGTCTAAACCGATACTAATATAATAAAATAATAATTGAAAAAAAAAATCAAACGGATACAAAGTAGGATACAGAATCGACGTCATCTTCCTAAAAAGAGATCATCAAATCCAAACAAAAATAGGATTTCAGATGGAGTACTAATTCCTATTTTGATTCGCTTAAACAATAAGATACAGTTACTTAATTCTTTGTTTTTAGTAATAAGTTAGTTTCCTAACACTAATCGTAATTCGGTTCATGATGGGTTGGATCTATAGTTTGCAAACTCGCGATCCTGGATCGTAGGATCGGACGATCCCAGGTACCTAAATCGATCCTGGATCGATCAAACTCGAATTTTGCAGTGGGATCGATCAGGATCGGTCAGGATCGTAGGATCGGTCCGAATTTACTATTCATCAATTACGAAAAAATAATTGAGCTTATTGAGATTTTTCTTTTCTCTTACTTCTTTGGTTCACATTAAATTGAGGCAAATATTCTTTAAAAGGAAATTTTTATTGCAAAGAAAAATATATTTTAGAAAGTTAATCTAATAAAATGAAAAAAAGAACTATAAGACAAGAGTTTTTCTTAAAAAGTTATGAAAAAATTCATATAAGAAAATTGAATTTACACAATTCTTTTTGTTTAGCTGTTAAATACTTTATGTGAAAGTAATTGAAACCTAATTATCAAAGTAATTAATTATATAACATGCATAATTAATTTTAGGATCCTACTATTCCGATACTACCGATCCCGTTTATGATCCGATCATATGACTCCATTTCGATCCTACGTAGGATCACGATCCTGCAAATATTGGTTCTATAAATAGAGATTGTAGTTTGACATAATTTACATACGAACCTAACAAAGTTGAAGAATATAGAAGGAAAGAGAAAGAACAAAACCAAAGAAACCCTGTAAACCATGTTTCTCTATAATCTTACTCTTCAAAAAGCCACCGGCATTGTTTGTGCCGTAAACGGCAACTTCTCTGGCGGCAAAGTCCAAGAAATCGCCGTCGCCCGGGGAAAAATCCTCGATCTCCTTCGACCTGACGACAATGGCAAGCTCCAGACTCTATTATCCGCCGAAATCTTCGGCGCAATTCGTTCCTTAGCTCAGTTCCGTCTGGCCGGCGGTTCAAAGGATTACATTGTTCTCGGATCGGATTCCAGCAGGATTTTGATTCTAGAATACAACAAACAGAAGAACTGTTTTGACAAAATTCACCAGGAGACGTTCGGGAAGTCCGGCTGCGGGAGGATTGCTCCCGGTCAATATGTGGCTGTTGACCCAAAAGGTAGGGCAGTCATGATTGCGGCCGTTGAAAAGCAAAAGTTAGTTTATGTCTTAAGTAGAGATAATTCTGCAAGTTATACAATTTCATCACCGTTGGAGGCTCACAAAAATCATACCATTACTTACTCTATTTGCGGTGTAGATTGTGGTTTTGATAACACTATATTTGCTGCTCTTGAGATAGATTATTCCTACGCCGACCACGATCCATCGGTTATAGCAGCGAGTGAAGCACAAAAGTGTCTGACATTTTACGAGCTGGATTTAGGGCTCAACAACGTTTCGAGAAAGTGGTCGGATCCGGTTGATAAAGTTGCAAATATGCTTTTGAGTGTACCTGGCGGTGGAGATGGTCCGAGTGGGGTGCTTGTTTGCGCCAAAAATTGTGTTATATACAAGAATCAGGACCACCCTGATGTTCGTTGCATGATTCCGAGAAGGGCGGATTTGCCGGCTGAATGCGGGGTTTTAATTGTTTCCGCGGCCATGCACAAGCAGAAATCCATGTTTTTCTTCTTGTTGCAAACTGAGTATGGTGATATCTTGAAAGTTACATTAGATCATGATCATGAAAGAGTCAAGGAGCTGAAGATCAAGTATTTCGATACTATTCCAGTTACGTGTTCATTGTGTGTTTTGAAGTCAGGATTTCTTTTCGCGGCTTCTGAGTATGGCAATCATGGATTGTATCTGTTTCAAGGAATTGGAGAGGATCCGGAAGTGGAAGCCTCATCAGCTACATTGATGGAAACTAATAAGGGTTCTGAACCTATATATTGTCAACCTAGGAAGCTTAAAAACCTTATTAGAATTGATCATTTGGAGAGCTTCATGCCTATGATGGACATGAAGATATCAAACCTCTTTGAGGAAGAAGCTCCTCAGATAGTTGCACTTTGCGCTCGTGGACCGCGCTCGACATTGCGCATACTACGACCTGGATTGGCTGTCAATGAGATGACGGTCTCGCAACTTCCTGGCGTTCCGAATGCTGTGTGGGCGGTGAAGAAGAATGTCAACAACGAATTCGATTCTTACATTGTTGTCTCGTTTACTAATGCGACTCTTGTCCTTTCCATCGGCGTGACAATTGAAGAAGTTAGCGACATCGGATTTCTCGATACAACGCCGTCTCTGGCGGTTTCCCTGATCGGAGATGACTCATTGATGCAAGTTCATCCGAGTGGCATTAGGCATATTAGAGAAGATGGACGTGTCAACGAATGGAGAACGCCGGGCAAGCGGACAATAGTTAAGGTAGGGAGAACAGGGTTCAAGTTGTGGTTGCCCTAAGTGGCGGTGAGCTAATATATTTTGAGATGGACATTACCGGACAACTAATGGAGGTGGCCAAGGTCGAAATGCCCGGAGATGTTACTTGTCTGGATATCGCTCCTGTCCCGGAAGGAAGACAAAGATCGCGTTTCCTCGCAGTCGGATCATTTAACAATGTCATTAGTATCTTGTCATTGGATCCTGATAACTGCTTGGAGGTTCTTAACGTGTTAAGTGTATCTTCACACCGGAATCTCTTCTGTTTCTCGAAGTTCAGGCTTCCGTTGCCGGAGAAGATGGCGCTGATCACCCTGCTTATCTTTTTCTGAATGCTGGTTTACAAAATGGAGTTCTTGTTAGGTCAGTGGTGGATATGGTTACCGGCCAGGTCTCAGATTGGCGGTCTAGGTTTTTAGGACTTAAACCGCCAAAGTTGTTTTCGATATCTGTTAGAGGACGGCGCGCTATGATTTGCCTATCGAGCAGACCTTGGCTTGGTTACGTAAACCAAGGACAGTTCCAAATCAATCCTTTGAGCTATGAAAACCTCCAGTTTGCCGCCGCGTTTTCATCCCTACATTGTGCAGAAGGTGTAGTTGCTGTTTCCGGGGATGCGTTGAGGGTGTTTTCGATTGAGAGATTGGGTGAAACGTTCAGTGAAACCTCAATCCCTCTTCGTTACACTCCGAGGAGATTTGTTGTTCAACCAAAGAAGAAACTGTTGATCACAATTGAAAGGATCAAGGAGGTTTCGGCGCTGAGGAGCGCGAAGCTAACAAAAAGGAGTGCGTTGAGGCAGAAAGTGGAAATGATGCGCAACAGATGGAGATTTGTGGCGAAGAAGAAGAGAATGATCCTCTCTCTGATGAACAATACGGCTATCCTAAAGCCAAATCGGACAAATGGGTGTCTTGCATTAGAGTGTTCGATCTGATTACGAGACAAACTTCATGCCTGTTGGAGCTCCAGGACAATGAAGAAGCTTTCAGTATTTGTACTGTGAATTTCCATGATAAGGAGTACGGAACGATGCTAGCTGTTGGCAGGGTGAAAGGCCTAAAGTATAGCCCTAAAAGATCATTTGATGCTGCATACATTCATGTGTGTCGGCTCAAAGAAGATGGGAAGGTGCTTGAGCTTGTCCACAAGACACAAGTAGAAGGAATCCCTCTTAGGCTGTGTCCGTTCCAAGGGAGGTTATTAGCCGGTATAGGGCCGGTTCTTCGGCTGTATGATCTTGGCAAGAAAAGGTTACTCAGGAAATGTGAGAACAAGCTGTTTCCAAACACAATAACATCAGTCCATACTTACCGTGACCGGATATATATATATATATATATCGGCGATATTCAAGAATCTTTTCACTACTGTAAGTACAGGCGAGATGAAAATCAGATGTTTATATTTGCTGATGACACAGTTCCAAGATGGCTAACTACAGCTAGCCATGTGGACTTTGATACTACGGCTGGAGCTTGATAAGTTTGGAAACATATTTTTCGCGCGTTTGCCTCAAGATGTCTCTCAGGAGATTGAAGAAGACCCCACTGGAGGTAGGATTAAGTGGGAGCAAGGAAAACTGAATGGTGCGCCAAATAAGGTGGAAGAAATTGTTCGGTTTCATGTTGGAGATGTGGTCAGTTGCATGCAGAAGGGTTCGCTGATCCCCAGTGGCAGAGAAGGGATCATTTACGGAACTGTCATGGGAAGTGTTGGAGCAATGATTCCGTTCACATCTCGCGATGATGTCGACTTCTTCTCTCATTTAGAGATGCATTTAAGACAGGAACATCCACCTCTTTGCGGGAGAGATCATATGGCTTACAGATCTGCATATTTCCCTGTGAAGGATGTGATCGACGGAGATTTGTGCGAGCAATTCCCTACATTGCCATTGGATATGCAGAGGAAAATTGCTGATGAATTAGAAAGGACACCAGCTGAGATTGTGAAGAAGCTTGAAGAACTGAGGAGCAAGATCATTTAATTTTATAGTTGTATCAAATTCACGTTACATGATTATCTCTAATTCGAATCACTTTTTAATGTTTTTTGTTGAGTTTCTACTTTCCTTTATATCATTCTGATTTGTTCCTTTTTCTTTTTTTTTTTGTTTATTTCGCAGGAATTGAAGACAACATAAAATAAAATGCTTCAAATGTTGATGACGGAATTCGGGGATCTTGTTCCAACATTCTTGGTGACATTAAAGCATTCCTTGGTGCGATAAGATTCTGTATCAAAACTTAATACTGTGTTGTATTGTTGTGCGGAAACTGTGTTTGTTTTTGAATACATGAAATCTGTGTGTGCAAATATAGTGGTATCAAGAGTTTGAAGTTACTGATTTCTAGAACTGGTGCTGCCTTAAGAGAATAATTAACTTAAGAGTTCTAAAAACAAATACAAATATGATAATCAAGTCTGAAAAATATTTTACTTGCAATCTTTCTTTTTATGTTGCATTTTATTCAACCGTATTTGGTTGTTGATGGATCTCTTGTAAAGCACAAATAAGAGATCCAGATGTTACTCATTTAAGCTGGGACAAGAAAATGAAGCTTAGAAAATGGAGTCCTTCATGTTATTTCAATTACAAGAATACAACTTTCACCTCAATGCTATACCAGTTGAAAAAATCACTTTGTTTTTTCTGGCGGGAATGCAAACTAATTATATAACGGAATTTGTTCCTTCTTTTTGTAATTCTATGATTATTTTGTTGAGATTTTGCTTTTTATCCACGAAGACAAGCAATTAACATTTTGGTGCGGCCCCATCTGCGAGAACTACTTGAGCGGCGATAACTTGTAGTTGACTAAACACAATTTTTATTTGGGCAAACGGAGCCGCATTGAAGGAGATGTACGTATACGATTTCACTGTTTTGTGATATAACTGGCTTTATGGACTTGTTAGAGGATTAATTATTAGATTAAAAAAACTAAAAATTAGATGAACTTCATGGCGTACTACAAACATTCATGTTTACATTCAACAAAACAAAGAAGCAAATTATTATTTTGAATTTTGTAAATCCAACTCAATATTGAAACATTTATCATAGGTGGCGGAACCAGCTTTTAGATGTTGGGGATCAACAAAACACTAAATTAGATAATAAATAGAAGAGAGAAGTACTTGCGTTTTGATAGTAAAAATAGAAAATATGTTGAGGGGTGTCTAGATAGAAGAGAGAATGTCTAGATAGAAGAGAGAACTACTCGTGTTTTGATAGTAAAAAAAAATAAAATAAAATAAATATACAATGCAAATTTACTTCAAAAAATAATTTGAAAATCATGAAAATTTGATTGTTTAATTGGTGGGATCTTGGGGCTGATATATTAAAATAAGAAAAAATAAATAAAAAAGAGGATGTGGGTTGAATTAAAAACAAACAACGGCTAACAAGGGGTTGCCCAAGTGGTAGTAGACATGGCATCAAAAACTTGAGGTCTCAAGAGATCTTAGGTTTAAACCCCGCCAGGAGCACTTTAAGTACTGCCTATGTCAGCTTGCAGCCAGGAGGCCAGAGGCAGTCCCGGCGGTCAGCTTGCAGCCCAGGAGGGTGCATAACAGAGGTGTGCATGCGTGGAGTTTCTCCCTAGTAGTAGTATCCCCTTCTCCCAATAGACCCTACAAATGTAATAGCCTAAGATAACTATAATGATATAATCAACGGTGGTCAGCTTGCAGCCCAGAAGGGTGCATAACAGAGGTGTGCATGCGTGGAGTCTCTCCCTAGTAGTAGTATCTCCTTCTTCCAATAGACCCTACAAATGTAATAGTCTAAGATACCTATAATGATATAATAAAAAAACAGACAACAGAAATAGAAAGTCCAGTTGGGTTGTATATAACCCAAATACTTTTAATAAAGAATGAGCTAAAAGAAATGAAAATTATTGCGGAAAAATGAAATACACTGGGCTAATTATTAAGACAATTAGGTCCTGTCGTTTTCATTAATAATGAGAAAAAATAAACCCAACCCATAAAGGGTTGCGTCTTCTTCTTCCTCGAGAACATTGGAGGGGGCATCTCCAATTCTCCATTATGGGAGGGGCTGAGAGAATGGTGGAGCCACCGGCCACAGATATCCTAAAGGTTCTCCGGCCGGTCGGGGGTCAGCTCCTGGACACTTAGGTGGTTTCTCCATCATTAAATAATTAATAATTCACATTGTAAGTATAATTTTTCATATAAAAATAATCTACATGCAAATTAAAATTACACTAAAAATAGTATAATGTTTAATGTAGAATATAAATTATTTTTGTGGACCATTGGAAGTATAGAAGATCACTTTATTGGTATACATCCGTGAGACGCCCTACTCAATGTCTTAAATGGGAGGATTGTGGAATACTTATTAATCACTACATCAACAACATATATGTACGAAGTGCTCCTCCGTGCATCTTATTTTCATAGTCCATTTTTATGACCTCTTTAAGTTTAACAAGCTAGATCATTTTTGGTGACCGGGGAAGTAAGGAATACAACATATAAGATTATGATAAAGAAAACTCTTCATGTGTATCATGAATATATTCATGGTTCTTGAAAAGAAAAAAGAAATATGGTAGAAAAACTATATGTGCGGTAAAAAGTAAACTAATAAATCTTTTTAATTCAACGTAAGTAATAGTGATTAGGTTTATATATAAAGTATATAATTGTTAAAAATATGATCACCATTTTACAGCACATATTTTTCGGCCTCATCAAAAACCCTAATTTATTCACTCAAAAGCCTCCCTCCTTGTGCCACCGTCAACAGCCTTTGTGCTTAATTAGGAGGAGCTGAACAAGAAGAGAAATTTAAATTGTTCGCATTCGGATCATCATCAGGTCAAGAATGCCCTAATTACCTCTACTGATTCTTCTCATCATTATTATAAACAACTTGCTGTTGGGTTGATTCATCATAGTAAAAGCGGCTTAAGCCCGGAGGACGTGGCAGCAGCCCTCGAGATATCATCGTTAAACTTTTGGAAGTGCCACTCTTTAGAAGCATTGGATGCTTTAGAAAAGCAAGTCATATCTTTGTCAAAGAAATTTGTTGATTGGCGTTTGGATTTCCTAGTTTGTAATTTTGTTCCACCAGCTGGCTATTACTTAGGGTATTTGAAGAAGGATCAAGTACTCGATCGCGTTCATTCGGCATTGAAAGCTATATGTGATTTATCTCCTCTTGTAACTATGAAGCACCATATACTGTACGGAACCGGGATTAATGGTTATGTACGTGGAGAACTTGCTAAGATTGGTGAGTGGTACAATGGATATAATTTTTTGGTGTTCAATGCTTTCGGAAGTGGTTTATAGGTTGGTTGAAGTGGATGTACAAATACCTCGAAATGATAAAGGTGTGTTCGATGTTGCAGAGATGGAAGATCTTGAACTTGAAGGCCCTCAAAATGACGAGTTTGAGAAGTTAGACAGCTTGATGGTTGTCACATTTGAATACCTTAAACTCTGATATGACAATGGTCATCTTGACCTAGTGTTTGAGATCCTCCTCCTTTTATTTCAGAACACGATTTTGCCATCGGATATACCTAAGTTCGCACAGTTTTTGATGTTCTACGCGTCACTCTTTTAGATATATTTCTAAATAGCGATGATTTAGAATGGAGGAGAATTAGAGCCGTTTCCTATCTTGCGAGTTACTTATCTCATGCGATGTTTATCACTGAACCTCTTGTGGTTCTACTTTGGAAAGACTTGTAACTTGGTGCTATGATTACTGCAAGAATAATAATCAAAATAAAGATGATTGATAAATTAGTACTATTTCACGATGGTTGTCAGGCATTTATGTATGTGCTTTGCTTCCGTATGAGATCTATCATTTCGGTCCCTTGTCTAAGATCACAACTAGTTTCAATGCGGATATATGAAATTTTGAAGCATCGGTTGAACCCTTTGAAGAAATGCCTTCCATCAATAGTTGGAAAATTTCTCCGGGTAGCTAGATCCTCTAATGTATTTGTTGTGCCTGAGGATTTGGACCCCGAAGGGATTACAGTGGAATCGGGACTTTATAGGGTTTCTGGTGAATTAGAAAATCTTGACATGGTTTTCCCCTTCAATCCATGTTTGCTGAAGAAATCTGATAGATTTATCAAGCCCAACTTTGTGTACTTGTTGATGGTTACTCATCCTTGTGACGTACAAGATGAGGAAGATGACATGGTACCATGATGAAGTTACTGAGTGAGGTGATAGGATGATGTTAATTGGATGATGATGATGATGATTAGATATTTAATGATGAAGGTTTTGATGCTAATGATGACTTTTTACTAGCTACTTTGAACAAAATGGAGTAAACTCCTTCTTTTCAAAGTGGGAGAAAATCCATATATACTTTTTCTGTTTCAAAATAGTCGTCCGATCTCACAAATAGTTTAAAATTGATTTGTTGTTTAATTATTACCGGACATGAAGAGAATTGTGGGATTTTTGGACAGTTGCTCATTGTCTCTAATTAATGATTTTCTCTATTTCTTCCTAATAGTGCATGTCCGTACTCCCTCCTCTTGTCCTTTGAAGTTGAGGATCTTCTCTAAGTAGTTGAAGGCTCTATAATTGAAAGACCTGATGAAAAGAAAAATAACGAAATGTAGATATAAACTATCTTTGATAAAATCTAACTATAACTTTCTTAGTCACTTTTTAGAGCCAAGTCAACCATTCTTTTTTTTAATTCATATGAACATTGTAAGAACGTTTTTAACCAAAAATAAATAAATAAAACAAAAATAAATTGTAACATCATCTATTAAAAGTTGTAAGCAGTTACTAGTTTTACGTAAAAAAAAAAAAAAAAAAGTTTTCCAATTTTTTGTTATAACATACTCCTACCAAGTTCGAATAAAAACAAATTATCGTTAGGCTACTTTTAATTCGTCTAAGATACTTCTTACATCACCATATAAAATTTATCACATTTTTTAAGAATAAATGAACTCAAAATAATGAAAGATAACAGAGAGGTCTGTCCAATATTAATTTTAAAAAATAAAAATAAAATAAAATAAACTCAAACTCCTATGTATATTAGGCTGTGTGGTCAACGATTTTAAAAAATATATATAAAATAAAATAACAACAAAACAAAACAAAACAAAAAAAAAAGAAGCCAACATAAAATAACGAAAAAAAAATGTCAGAAGTTTGAGTATCTGTTCTCATGTTATCCTAGTGTTATTAGGTTGTAATTTCTACCAATCGAAATTCTCTATCAAAGAAACATAATAGATCGCAATCTAATTCTCTTAATTTGATCTGTAACCAACATAGATGAAAAACAAATTTTCATTGGTCCATGGACTAGCTAGACCCTTGGATTTCCAAATATTGCGCCAAAAAAAATAAATAAATAAATAAATATAACATGACAATCATTCACACCAATTTTCCCCCATTTTTTTCTTACAGCGAACGAGATAAGCATTCTGTGGCCTTGTAAAGAGCAGATCAGGTGAGAATCTTTACAGCCCTCTTTGCAGAAATCCTCAAGAACATCTAGGCCTTCGCAGTAGGATAAACATTCATTTGTTTCTCTTTCACATTTACTTTTTATGCGCTGGTCTACATTAATTGAGGTTGACGGTGGCGACTCCGGCGGCGGATCTTGTCCTTTAGTCGTACTGATTAGGAGGACTAGCGGTAGAACCACCAGAAGAAGCATAAAGACATTACTTAGAAGAAGCTGAAGTTTTGCCATCACTATGGTAACGAGCAACAAGCAGGAGAAAACTAGAGGTGTGTGATTGTATATATAGGCAGGAGAGAATGATTCGATAATAATTATATATTACAAGTAATAACAATGATGAGGTGTGAATTATCTAAACTATCTTTTAGATTAAATGTATAAATTCTAAATGAAAAGTATAGAAAAGGAATAGATGTGATCATTTCTTGTTACGTTTTCTTGTAAAATTTTCAGTGTATTCTAAACATAACGAGTTTATTTTCACTGATTTTTATGAAAGTGACTGGCAAAATTATTAGTATGACAAATTTGTTATTATCAGATTTAACCATCAGGTAATTTAAGTGGGCATCAATCACTATATTTAAAAAGAAAAAAAAAATTAAAAGCCAAAACCGAATTGTAGATGCCTAAGCTCGACATACCACCACGAGAACAAAATTATATATGGTTTTGACTTTAGATAACACATGGATTCACATGCACGGCATCAACTGTAATTGTTAGAAAATTAAAAATTACAGAGTCTGAGTCAGTTCCTTTCAAGATCGCCGAAGAAAGTATTCATAAAATTGAAAATAATTTAATTTTTCATTTATTAAAACATAAAACTTGCGCTCATTCAAATAATATCTTTTCCCATTTGTTGTTAATAATTGTCGAGTGGATTTGGTAAGTGAAGATAAGTGTTCGATCATAGAAATTTGAAGAAATTTTTCTGAAATTTCTTGAAGCCAAATGCATAACACAGCTAAAGGTGTTTATGTTATTTTCTGTGCTTTCACTAGTTTTCATCATTGTTCTTTTAAAATTAAGACCACAAAAAACGTTCTAAAACATACCAAACCAAAGCTACAAATCATCCCCAAGCCAAAAGCTTTGCATACTCACTTCTGTAACCAGTATACTAACAAAAATTACCAAATGGCCAAGATTCATCAAAATTTACAGCAGACATCAGCTCAAAATGACCCACTAATTTAAAGAGCTTCAGAAGATAAATAATCTCATTGCCAGACAAGAAACAAGATATACTACACAAAAAAATTCCCGGCGGTAAAAGTTGATGATCTACTTTGTACTCATTCCTTCTATCTTTGTAATTAGAGAATGAGAAGCTATATGTTCTCTGAGCTGAAATATGATTCCTAGACTCTTAGTTGCTCCATGCTAGCAACCTAACTCATTACCAGACACAAGTGCACCGAGAATTATCAAAAGCCCGTTGTCCCAGGGAATAGTTCAGATATCTTGTTAAAAACATCCATAACCTGAGAACAAGGACCGATGTATCAATAAATAACCCTTATTGAGAAACAAACAGTAATATGACAACAAATGTCAATAGTTTTGGCCTTCTGGGTATGACGCCCGTTATCTCATCCACACCAACTGTTAGTGCCAAAATCAGGTCACAATCATAATTTCCAATGTAGTACTTATATAGGATATGATGAGTGAAAAAAAGTAAAATAACAGAAAGCAAGGAGATGGAGAAAATAGTTCTAGGAGCAGACCATGATGTCAAAATCCTAATTACCTCCTTGTCATTTTGATACTTGGTGATGCTTAGCGGATTCTGGGAGCACTGTAGAAAGGACCAGCAGTTATATATGTCAGAAAATGCAATATTCAGTCTCCACGCAAACTACCGAAGGACTACAAATATAAAGAGCTTTACCAAACTGGAAAAATTAAAATTCAGAGGGGAAATTGCGCAAACAACTTACATCCATGATTGCTGCTTGAACTCTCGGATTTTGAAATGCCATGGCAACATCAGGATTGGCCATAATCTTGGAAATGACTTCCTCAGGAGTAAGCCCTATTTGGTCTGCAGAGGCAGTGAATGAAATTTTGATAATCAACAAAGTGAACTTCAAATAGATCCTTCACCAACTAAATGTAACATCCAAACATTCAGGAAAAAACTTGGTTGAGGCTGGGCAGTGCTGCCAATGTACATGATGTCACCCAAGCACACAAGCTTTTAAAAAATAGTTAGACAATAAATGGTGTAAGTTTAAATCCACTGAAGCATAAAGCTAAATAAAAAGCAAAAATGTAACTGCAATAGCTCTTGGAGCCATGTAGAGGTGCAACCACCAGTTCTCCACATCAAATATTAATAACAGAGAACAGACTAGCTAATTTGACTTCATCAAGGAGTGATCCTTATTTTTTCCATTGATTTAAAGTTCTTTTCTGTATTATAATCCTCGTTAAGAACATGTAAAGGCAGAATGCATACAAGGATAGGCAAGAGTTTCTGTTCCTACAAACAGTTCAACTGCAATGAAATTGAAAAGGTTTTTGAATACCCAAAAGTGATGCAATCAACCATATTGCTTAGAAAGATGATAATCCTTGAAATATGACAGTAGATCGACGAAAAGAGTGTGCATGTTTACATAAAGCAAACCGCAGACAGCTTTTAGAATCCTCTAAATATTCACACTATACCAGCTAAAAACATCAAAAGAAAAATCAAGTATATTGTACTAGGTACTATACATATTCAAGCATCCTAACACTTACCAAACTGTTGCTTGATCTCAGGACTGTTTAGATCAAAATTTTTCAAGTTATCGAGCATGCGGCTATCCCAATCAGGACTTCCCCCCATATTGTTCCTGTAATGACAAGAGAAGGGGAAAAAAAAGATCGGTAAACAAATTAGTGGTGGGATATCTGTTTAATTGCAAAGAAGTTGAAGAGGGTATTGAGATTGGCACCAAAAGTAAGCAATTTAATGAATTCCTTAGGCTCATTCCCTAACCATTCACAAAATTTCAGGGAAAAATAACCAAAAAAAAAAAAGAAAAAGAAAATAAAAAGCTTGTACTAGGGTGAAAACAGAAATGCACAGCAATAACAGTGGGGTGCAACTAAGGTCTAGCACATGAAGGGCAATATATGACATTCTTGTACATGGCAGAGAAAGCAAGCCAACAAGTGCTGGATTCATCTTAGTCCACAAATAAGATGGCCAAAAAAGACAAGCAAGCAAGAAAATTACAAGGACTAGTTACCATGAATAGCAGTGAAGACAGAGAGCAGTCGGTATTATCCGTCAATAAATAGAATACAACTCATGATGAACCAAACATTCTGCAGACATGATTTGGAAAAGAAGTTGCCACTTAATTAAGAAGTTACAGATTTAACTAAGAAGCAGCGGAACATCAGCCACAGCCCTAACCAGTAGCATTCCAAGAATATTGTAGTCTATGTTTGTTTCCATACTTATAGAGAAATTATACTCGGGAAATATTCTTTTGTGAAAAATATTCTTTTGGAGGGGCAGAAAAAAAAGGGTGTCTTGGAAGGAAAAATTATTGAAAATCATGTGAGCATATTTTGTAGGGATCTAATAACCTGAGAATTAAAAATCGCAGTAATCTGATTGACAAATGGATACTTGTTCAGAACATATAACTAACAAATCACAGTTCATAAATTATATGAAGATTGTTAAGTGAAATATAAAACTTACAACATCTCTTGCAATTGCTGACGGTACATGGGATTTTGTAGCATCCCTGACAAAGAACAAGTGATAACCCTTGAGACTCACAAGAAAGTGTAATACTACATAATAAATTGAAGGGTAATGATATCATGAACTTTTAGAAATGACAGAGTGATTTAACAACACGAAAAAAAAAGAAAAGAAAAAAGATATTAGGGGAAAGAAAAAAGCCAAAATGAGGCAATTCCTGTATGACCCCCTAAATGCAATCTAGATACGTTTTCCAATGATAAAACTAATCTAACACTGACATAATTTCTAAGAAAAAACATAAACGAGAATTCAAATCCGAAAAAAGAAGATGAAATCGCGTAAAATTCAAGGTTTCGTATAAAAGGAGAATAAGTATACAAATTAAGCTATATGATGCTTCAACTTACACTTGAAAGAAGAAGGGTTCCTCATCTCCTCAGGCAGGTAGCTGTAAAAAGATTAAGAACATAACATTCCACAAGTTAGGCCAATAAAATAATGGCTCATTATAAATGACTATTTAGATTCCTATGGGAAATACCATGTTATAAAAGAAAAAGTCCTTAAAAAAATAGCGCCCAAATTCAGAAGTTCATAATGTCATGGAAAAGGGGGATCTCAACAAACATGGACTTTAACCCCAGCAAACATAACAGAAATTCCAAAGCATATAAAATCAATTTGAATTAAAACACCAAGCTCCATAAAAAGGAATAATATAGGTAGCTTATAATGAAACGAGCCCAACAGAGAGCATCTCTAACAAGCCAGAACAATAACTCGAAGGTAATTAAAAGTGCAGCGGCTAAACGACTTCAATTTAGGTAACATAAAAAGCACATCATTGAATGAAACTGATAAGAGTACAGAGCCAAATCAATCTTACGGGTACACCATTTTCTGCACTGTCGGATCTTCCAACATTTTCTCCAAAGCTTCCACAGACAATGGAGAATTTGCTTTCCCTGTACAGTGAACAAAGCCTAGTAAGATTCTTTGCAAGTAGCAAACTTTTAATGTGATTGTCCAACACAAATATCAAGAGTCAATGGAGCTCCAGAGATCAGAAACTTTCATCTATTTGGTACGCAAGAGAGTTGGATCAAGAATTACTCACTATTTGAAATTCCAGTCACTCAAAAGTGGACTCAGATCAGATAATTAGAGGAACTAACAGAACATTTAAATTTAGGCATATTGTTGGGAGAGAGGACACTACTTAATATGTTGCAACCCAAAAGAAAATGTAAGGAAGAAGACTAGATGAAGCAAAACATTCAGGCAGTTCTTGAGAAGTAAAACATGAAACCAGTACAAATGTTTACTCACCACTTGAGGATGAAGCCTGAGAGGCACTTTCTTCTGATTTAAAAGCAGCACCATTTGCAGATACCTTCATGAACACAGCAAGACTTTAATAACCCACGACATTATTTATATAAACATTTATAAAAGATACAACAACATCATTCATAAAAGATACACTCACATTATCAGAAGTAACTGTATCCTTTGATGAGTCAGCCTCAGCAGATTCCTTGTAGCTTTCAAAAGCACTCTTCTGGAAAGTTTCAGCAGGGGAAACATCTACAAAAGCTGCAAGGGAAAAAATTGATCCAGTCATTCTTAACACTCCCACTCCAAAATTTAGACTAATGATCTAACTTCATGTATCAAAGTTCCCAACCTCCATTATAGAGACAATTAACTTATTTAACCGAAAGATGCAAATTTACCAAGAAAAAGAAAAAACAGGGTAATGTTAGCACTAAAATAAAAATAAAATAACGTACACACACATGTCCCTGCTAGTATTCATTCACTCAACAAAAATCATAGCTTAGATAAGACTGAAGAAGAAATATATATTTCACAGGAAGTCATTCAAAGCTTCATTTTTATCATGAAAGAGCCTCCGCACTTTCTTTCAAAGCAAACAAAAGAACAGAGCAGAGAGGCTTTCAAAACAGCACAAAGCCATGTATACGGTCCCACGAACCAAATTATTTGAGTAGAGACCGTGTTTGAAAATAATAAATGCGAACACTGTACCAAGGATGTATTAAAAATCACAACATAGCAACAGAAAGATAAATCAAACCTTAAACTACATATACTAAAGATTCAACGCAAGATATGGAAAGTCTGAAGTTAATGCAGTGAACAAACAATCAAATTTAAAGATTAAGGCACCACAGGATTATAAAATCAATAATAATCATGATAATCGGCATTGTCCAAATCAGTATCCTCACCATTTGACTACTATCATAGTGCAAGTAAAGCACAAGTCATTTTAGTAAGTGCTATTATTAACAGATGAAACATATTTCATTGGCAACGAATGAAAGATCTCAATAAGTAATAATGGGTTCCTACAATTTGAATATCTTGCCAGCAAAACTAAATTTTATGAACAGGCATCAGCGAGGGGCGCAAACAGGTAAAGTAGGTTTCAGGCGGATGTAATCAGTACCAAATTTTTTAGGTTGCTTCCTGGGTTCTGAATCATCTTTGATGTCCGTAGCTGGAGGCTCCTCAACTTTGGTGGCAGCGACATCAACAGTGGCTGATTGAGTTGATGTTGGCGGTGGCGAGGCTGGAGTAGTAGCTGATGGTGTAGTTGCAAAAGGAAAAGGCGAATTTGGAGAAAAAGCAGCATTGCTAAATTGATTATTTTGGGTACTCATCTGTCCCATCATTGTCTTGAAAGCTTGTTGCATAGCATATTTCTGAAAAATGAGAACTTGATTATAGTAAAAGAATGTGCAGAGATGTCCTTGGATCTCACAGCAAATTTATTTCTTGTTGTTTAAAAAATTGCTTCCTTTTTTTTCATTTTTTTTGGTGGGTGGGTAGGGGGGAGAAGAAGAAGAAGTTGCAGCTTTGGTCACAAGAAAGCCACAATGGCCAAAATGGTTCTCGTCAAAAATAAGTATGTCACTGCATTCTGGGAGATAAAAAGCTTTCTTACATCAACGTGTACCACAAACCAACGAATTAACCCTTTTCCAAACTCTACTCTGCACGCATTAGTAAAATTCCATTGAATTCTATCAATTTGATAAGAGTACAAATATATTATCTGCCCTAACAGCAACTCATATTTTCCTAGTATATCTTCTTTCCTTTTTGTGGGAGGTCTTTCATATCCATTTTGTGCTTCTTTTTCAGAAACCATATAATACTTGTACGAGTCTGTCAAAGATAGCAAATCACTACATTCTAGGAGATGAAATGCTTTCTTCAATCAACATGTACCAAGGTCAACAGAGTTGAACCTCTTCCGAACAGCACATACACATTAAAAAACCCTAATTCCAATGACTTGTAATCAATTAAATGAGTCATTCTGCCTTCACAACAGATCATTTTTACTAGTGTATCTAGATTCTGACTTCCAGAGTATGTCTGTTTAGTGATTCCTTCTCTAAAACTGGATACTATTTGCTTCCTGAAAATATTAACAAGCTGGATACACCTGCTCGCCTATTCAACGTCCAAACGCAAGCAAATTACAGAATCACGTACAAGATACTGCTTATTTAACTTACGCTTATTACCTCAGGAGAGTAAGAGAATTTAATTACTTTTTCATTCATTATAAAACGAAAAACACATGTACCTCATGATATTCAAACTCACCTTTAATCTTGCTGCAACCTATAATTACATTCAACAAGTCAGAGAATGTAGAGATGACAGAACTTTAACCGAGCAGAAAACTACATTAAAGTATGTATGTGATCATGTTTACCCATGAAAATACTGCCGATAGCGCAACACCAACTCCAACCCAAAACAACGGAGACCCCCTGGATACATAAAGAAACCGACAAACAATAAATACTTTAAAACTTGTTATCAGCACTGAAAAACAAAATCATAAGCATCAAAAGACTTGAAAACAAGCTGAGAAGGAGCAGCTGAGAAACATCATAACATAGTAACAACAATTACACTTGCGAAGAAGGAGGTTGGACAGGTAGTGGGTTTGCACCAACTGATGTTGTCTGTTGGCCATTTGAAGATGTAATGCTGGCAAAATGATCTCCTTTTAATTTTGCAAGCACTGAAATCAAAATATATCAGAGATTAAACAGCTGCTGGAGAAAAGGTAAGGTTCGGAAGACACAGTAGATTAAAAACTCAACCACCACACAGTACTCCAAAATTTAACAAGCCAATATGACACATTTGAAACTTAACTATATTGATAGAGGATCTTGACACGTCAATGTGCACAGTACAAATGGTTTATCTCACACAAACATGCTTATGTTTGAGTATAGGTAACAAATCTGCAATTTTGTAAATTCCCACACCTAGATTCAGTATCATTCTACATCCAATAATCATGTCCTGCCGCCTGTTCCTTTCTCAATTTCTATGAAATTTTTTACAATATCTACTCTCAAGGAGAAATTCATTTCCTTGGCATTGATATGCGGCTATATGATATGGATACTGCAGAAGCCAGTTCTACTCCGATGAAAAAAAGAAGAATTTCCCGATTGCAACAATAATAGTATCCATAATATATAAAAACTCCTCTCTTGGACTTGTCTTTTAAACTATTATTATTGCACAAGCATATCTTAAGCCCTTCAGAGTTTCACCAATTAATGACTTACAAAATTTTTTCTCGATATTTTGCAAGATTCAGAGTCCAGAGTCTACACTAACTGCTGCCTTCTATTACAAGAACGAAAACAAAACTTTTCAATACTGAATATAACCAAAGTGAACTTTTACCTTTAGCTTTTACAACAATAGGCATTCATTTCAAATGCACTGCCTGATAATTTCATTATGATTGAACAATTTTCCATTAATTTCTACAAGGGAGCAACCTTTTGCACACAAAAAGAGGCCATTAGTAGTTTAAATGAAAACCCTTTTTGCATCACAACAGACATAATATATGCGTGTTCAAATACCACTTACAATCCGCAAAATTAACTTCTGACTAACAATGACTCGAAAGACAATTCACAGCACCTCAAATAGTAGAAAACCAATGACAAACCCATTAATTACTCCAAAACCGAGAGGCAATCTATTACATTTGACATCTCTGCTAAGTTTTAGCCATTGTTCATAAGTATGCAGAATCACCAACACATATACAAAAACCAAGACAAGCACACACATACAGATGAAGGCAAAACATAAGTACCACAAAGTAATGAGAACAGGTTAACTAAAATAAAGACGCAACTAATAAACGCATGTCAGCAGCACAAAAATTGAGGGAAAAAAATCACAAAAAGGAGAAGTAGTTACCAATGGTTTCGCTTCTTCTAACACCCTGACAAGAAAACGGCGAAGGGAAAGCTGACGGCTTTCTGGGATTGAAGTTTTTAGGAAACCCCAAAAGGGGTTTGTTCATAAGGATTGGGTTTTTGTGGTTTGGCGACAGACCCAGAACCAATTTAGGTGAAGAAACAAGACTCAAATTTTCCATCCTTATCAAGAACAAAGGGGAGCCCAACTCCAAACAACAACAGAAAAACTTATCAATTCAACTTAGTTTATACTCTGATGCTGATGAACGAACAGCTCGAGAATTGAATTTGAGAGCAAAAAAGATGGGAGAAAATACAAAGAAGCCGGTCAATCAGTTTTGATGATGATATTGAAGGATCAGAACTCAGAAGCAGAAGTACAGTAGTATACTCATGCTCTTGGACTGATAAAAGAATTGCAGCGGGCCGGGCCATCCATGTAATTGGGCATTACTACTTCACTTTATTTGTATTAAACTCCCTACGGTTTTCATAAAGTTCCCTTTACACCCCAACAGAAAAAATAAATAGATAAAAATTTCTTTCCCAAATCTAAACAATGTTCATATCTACATTATGAGTAGAGCCGGCATTAACATAAAGCTCTTGAAGCCTAGGCTTTAGGACCCTAATTTTAATGGACCTTTTTTAGTGTTCATTTGATATTTTAAACATAAAATCAAATTAATTGGAGGGATAAAATAATTAAAATATCTTTCTTAATTTAGAGGCCCTATTTTTATAACTTTGTTCCTAACATTAAACCATAATAATAAATCCAAAATCACTCCTATCAAAATAAATTATCTCAGTTAATTGATTAATTTTTAATACTCAATCTTTCTGACTACACTTCGCCATCATCTCACTACAATAATCTCTCACTCTACTTTAATTAATTTTTTGTTAGATTTTATCCCATTCATGTATACAAATTGTATATCTTTTTTACATCAAATGATTTATTTGTATATCTTTGAACTATTGAGTAAAATCATAATAATGTGAGCATCTTTTAATATATTTCTTTTTTTTATTGGTTCGGTTAAGTGCTAACTTATAACTAGCATCTTTTGTCTTTCATAATTGATTAATCATTTATTGTATATATGTTACAAAGCAAAAAATTTATATATGATAGAAATCAGAGACAAAATAGATAAAATTATATCATGATTATATATTAGTATTTTTTTTCCATTCATATGACACTCGTATATAAAATTTCAACTAAAGCGTACCTATGGTCCCCATATAATTGCATTAATAACAAACAAAAAAAAATAATAGTTCGAGCAAATTTTAAAAAGGACTCATGTTACAAATTTACTTTAGGCCCCATTTTAGGTTGAGACGGCACTGATTCATGAGCAAGATCCTAAAAAGTTTTTTAGAACACATGTTATAAACAAAATCATCCCTTGCAGTCCCTTACATTAGGTAGTTGATTAGGGCGTTCGCAATAGTGAGTGTGACATGTTATCAACAAAATCATCCTAATATTATTCCCCTTTTTCCAATTTAACCACTGCAAAGAGTATAGGTGCATTGGCCTGAATGGTGCATACAAACCCCATTTTCTTGTCAATTTTTTGACCCCAAAAGTGAGGAGGCAGGGGTGGTCCTCTAAAAAGGGGGAAAAAAACAAAGTGACGGTCGGTTTTCAGATTAAACGGTTATTTTTTCATATTTTCATCGTTTAGTATTTTGGATTTTTTTTTTTCTTAAACATTAAAGTGTAACGGTCATTTTTTCATCTATAAATAGCTTTAGAAATTTTCTTATTTACACCTAAAATCTCAATCATCTACAACACATCAGTTTTTTCATTCACTCAATTGTTTGTTAATTACCCTTGTCAATTTTGGCTCAATATCATGAGTGAAATTAGTAATTTAAGAAACTAGTTTAGGCCTACAAATTGTGGAAATCTTTCCTCGTCGCAACCAAATCGTAATTATGAATACGATTTTTAGCCAAATGTACAAAATTATAGATATCCTTCACAGTCTCTCGTTCTATTCATTCATCAAATTTTCAAAATTTATCATCCAATTTCAAAAATTCTCCACTAAATTTTCAAAATTCACTCTTGAATCTCCAAAATCATTGCTAAATTTTGAAAATCCTACGATGAATTTCAAATCTTTGACCAAATTTTCCATACCAATTCTTATATTTTCAATATCGGGGTTATGAATCCGACAATGGGAAGCCAGCCTGTGTCAGGATATCATAATCTTGATTCTAATCACAAAAATATCACACCGGGTCTATATCCAGCTTTCAAATTCCGGCATTTTCAACAACCAAACTTTAGAAATGTGGTCTAACACTAGTAACGACGCGGAATCCAATCAAAACTAGAGGTAAGGTACTTGCAAGAGTTTGGCTCATTATATCAAACTGTTGCAAGGTGGGGTAATTCTCAAAAGGAAAACCAATTTCGGAAACGGGTTATGGAGTATTACAACAAAGTATATGAAGCCTGGACAAGAAAGAAGCGAAAAACATATAAAATCATACTATCATTGGATCAATCGATGAGTAAATGTATTCAATCAACACCACATCAAGTTAAATGCAGAGCATCATAGAGGGTAGAACGAGAATAATGTCAAACAAGCTACTCGTGCACTCAGTGGCGGAACCAGCCTTTGGCATTTTGGGGAGGGGGGGTCGCCGTCCATTAGATTTTGGAGAGAGTTTTTTTTTCTTTTATTTTATCAAATAATAGATATATTAGGAATTTTTTTAATAATTATAATGAAATAATATGTGTATCTTTATTATTTCTATTATATTTACATTATTCTGGTGTAAAATCTATAAATTTTTTTAATAAAGAAGACCTCGGATATGTTTGGCTAAATTATCCTAATTCATAAATTTACAAAATACTAGGATGTGGGGTCAATTTTAAAACATTTAGAACTTAAGTGAGCGTTACTTCTATTCAAAAAAGGCACAAATATGAAGACTTTTAAGTGACACGGGGTGTATCTATGCTTTCTCTAAACTATTGGGACCAATCCTGGAAATTTGAAAACATTAAACTTAATTAACAAAGCATTTCTTCTCCATTGAATCTGACCAACTTTTATAACTTATCGACTGCGCCGACAAAGTTAAAAAATTATAATCTAATAATGTCAACCCTCAAGCTGGGCTTTAGTCTTCTTCAAGCCTCATCAAACCCATATTAGGGGGCGGAGTAATTAAAACAGGACCACCGAGCCTTCGGCCAGGAATACCTCTTAAGGGTTTTTTCGGCAAACCGAAGGGGCTTGAGACCCCCCAGTCCCAAGGTGGTTCTGCCCCTGCGTACACTTTACCATCAAACCATGGATGGACAACATTTCAAGTATGAACGTTAACTGTAAATAGTGAATTTGAAAGATAATTCGAAGTAAAAAATGGTTAACTCCTTTAAACGTCCTTCCAAAAAGTCAAGGACTAGCAAAAGCAGAGAATATGAAACTTCATCAGATCTTGATATTAAATTTGATCTGAACAAGAGTGGACCAGAAGATCGTCCAATGGGTCAAAAGGTAGCAAAAAGAAGGGAAAAATCAAAGGCTAGTGTGGTAGAACCTCAACCCCCGCTTTTGAAGAAATTTAAATTTTTGTGACGGATAAGAAGGACAAGATGCGAGAATTGAAGAGTACGGTTGAAGATCTTGCATTTATGAAAGCGTGCAAATACTTAGTGATGTATACTACTAGATTGAGTGTAAAAAACCTTACCCATTACGAAAAACCTAATGAGAAATATAATCTTGATTAGAATCTAATTTAATCTCACGTAATTTAATTATTATATTTTTATTATGATGTTGCAGTATTTGATTAATGAATTTTTTTATATTTTTTTTGGTAAAATGTAAACGTTGTATTGAAGATTTGCAAAAGCACAATTGTCACCACTTACAAATAGATTCAACTGCTTCCTGTTAATCTACCTTTCTATAACTAAATATTTACACTAGTTACAAAAATCTATAAAATTTCATTCTATCCAGAAACATTGGTGCACCACCGTCTTCTCAGCTGCATTCAGCCTACAATATTTTCCAAGGAATCTGGTTTTCATTTCATACTTGATCACCTTTAGAAGATCTTGTACTGTCTGACTTTATCCGAGAACAATCTTCGGTTTCTTTCCTCTCATACATGGTAGATTACAGTAGCCAATATTGCCCAGGAGATTTGTTGTTTTAACTTTGCTCTCTTCCAAAGTGTAGTGACCTATTTCTGCCATCTCCCCCAGCACCTTGAAAGTCTTCTGCTCCCTAGCCAGTTCTGCGCCTGTACCAGGACTTGATCAGCAAAATTACAACTAAAAAACAAATGAGGGACTGATTCATGATTCATCTGTTTGGTGGCATAAGATACACACCTTGTCAACCACAGTGATGTGCATTTTTTCCAGCCTCTCCTTTGTTACTAATCTTTGTTTCCATGCCAGCCAACTAATAAAGATGTGCTTTGGGACATTTTGTCTAGCCTAAATGAATTTAGCACCCATACGTGGAGGTCTATTCCCCATAAACCAATCATACCCTGATGCCACAGTATACTTTCCAGCCTTATCAGCTAACCGTTTCCCTCCCTGAAAGCTTGACCTTGCCTGATCCCTAATCTTTAAGATTTGCTTCCAATGCCAACTACCATCCAGTCTTGGTTGAACCTCCCATATACTCTCCTTCTTCAAATACACAGATGTATCCACTTAACCCACAGATTATCAGACTTTAAGGCTAAAGACCAAATCTGCTTTAAAATTGCAGCTTTGTTCCAAACCTTGGCATCCCTAATACCCAAACCACCAATGGATTTTTTAACACATACCTCATCCCAGCTAACCAAGGAGCTAGTTCTGCCATTACTTGTAATCCCCCACAGGAACTCTCTACAAACCCTATTCACAATGGTTATAACACTTTGTGGCAATATAAATATGGATCCCTAATATACTTGCATGGCCATCAAAACAGAGTTCACCAATTGTACTCTACCCACATATAATAATTGTCTACCACTCCAACATTTAATTCTAGCCACCATTTTACTAATAATTTCTTGACAGTCCAATTGCGATCATTTTTTAGAAGATAGGGAGACACCTAAGGATCGCATGGGAAAATTACCTGGCTTGAAGTTCGTAATCTTGCAAATCTCCCCTTGTTGCTCTCTACTGACACCTCCAAAGAAGATCTCTTATTTGTGAGAATTTGCTTCTAATCCTGTCACTGCTGAGAACTCTTCAAACACTTGCTGAATTCCAGAAATTATTGCAGTATCTGCCTTGTAGAAGACCATCAAGTCATCAGTAAAACACATATTAGTAAGCTTTAAGGCTGCGCACATTGGATGAAACTTGAACCATGGCATTTGGGCTAATGTCTTCAAGCTTCTTGTTAAGAACTCCATCACCAATACAAATAACTGGGAAGAGATGGGGTCACTCTGTCGTAAACCTCTCTTTCCTGGGAAGAATCT